TAATAACTTTTTTTGTCATCGTGGCAAAGTGTTTGTATCTATACAAAGAAAAAACAATTGAGTAACATCGAGAAATAGCAAAATTAAATAAGCTCATTTTTAACTATGCCTCCTAAAACTTTATTTTGATCTCGTTTTGCCTATTGTAACTAAAAACTTGCACTTTACTATCTGAAACTCAGAATTCGTTCCACTTTGACTTGTGGGCTATTTCTTCCTTTTAAACTTATAGGATGCTTTCTAAAACAAATGTGGGACTCAACACCCAATAAGTCTATGCCACATGTGCAATAAATTTGATTATAAATTTCCACTATACATTAACATATATTCAACAATCAAACAATATTATGTTTAAAAGAAATTAAAGAGATGAAAAATATAAAAATGAAATTGATTAGCCTGGTGCACACAAATCAACCACATAAGAAATTAATAGATCTAAGACAATGTGGAGCGAATTTTGAGTTTTATGGAAACGACTTTCAAGTTTCAGGAGGTAAAATGGAATCAAAATCGAGTTCGAGGGGGCAAAGTGGAGTGACTTTTGAGTTTCAGGGAACAAAGTTGCTACTTTTGAATTATATGAAGCAAAGTGAGATGAAATCGAGTTCCAGAGTCGTAACTAAAAATAAACCATTAAATAATTTGCCAAAAAAAAAATAAATAAATAAAAACTTATTATCAAGGCAATTTGGTTTATAATTAAAGGGAAGTCTATGGCTCTCCTTGTAGAGAAATCAACGTCATTCATGTTAGTCGAACATGTAATCTTTTTTAAGTGAAAGAAAGAATTTCAAAGTAAGAAGGGCAATCTCACTAGGACCTATGATAATATAGTGTTTGTGCTTGAGACTAAAAATTTGTATGAGCTCCTGAGGTTGTTGCAACACTCAAGGGTTTTGGGCTAAGACTGATTAAGCATGCTGAAGGAGGAATGACCAAAAGTGCATTTTCTATCTTAAAATTACAGTCTAGAGAAAGCTCAAAAGCTAGTAATTCTAAGGAGATGAAGTTTTGGAAGAACTATGATAAGAAATGTAGTTTTAAGACTAGTGACAATTTGGTGAATTGTGAAACACAATGGTAACAGGGAAGGCACAAAAAGAGGCTTGTAAAACCTGCAACAAACTGCACTTTGGTGAATGTTGGTATAAGGGCAAAGCCAAGTGCAAAGCCCCGTATTAAAGTTATAATAAAAATATTGTTTGCCTTGTTTTAAGGTTGGGAAATTACCTATATTCTTGGGAACCAAAAATTACTTCTCCACTAAACAAGCCATTAGCATGCGAAACATGAGGAGTGGAGTTACAATCAAGCAACATAATACCCACTCCATGGAACATGGAGAAATACAAGGAAACTGGGACTTGGAGCCCAAGAATTTTATGCCTATAAAGGACCTAGAATCCCACTAGAATGAGGGAAAAAAGGAGGTATGAGATCGTTCTATGTTTTACAAACATAGTGAACAAACATCAACTCGAGTTTCGGAGTGTTTTCTTGCAAAGTCCCTCCGCTCTCATTGATGACAAGTGAAGATAGTGTCTAAGCTTCTCAACAAGGCTACAATATTATTGTTGGAGGAGATGAAATTTTTCGCTCCAATAGTTGGCACCGTTTGTGGGAAACGTACAAAAAGCCGTATGGAGAAGTACTAATATACACTTAACGTAAGGGTATGATAAGAGGTATGGCTTATCATAAGTGTTATACCCTTCTATATGTCTTATCATGAATGGATAAGACCATTCATAGAAGTCTCACAACTCTTTCGAAAATGTATGATAAAATCTATAAAAGGAAATCATTCCTCTAGACAAATTATTCAACATGAAACAAATTCTCTTATTCCCTTTGATATGCTATTTCCTTATCGGCACTACAACATAGTAATCAATAATCTTACAACATTAAAATTAATCATGTTAAATTCTGCAACCATATATAATATTGTGTGCACCAAAAAATATATATTAATTTTGAACGTATCTTAAGATTGGGGCGTGAGAAAAAGTGTATGTGCAAATGAAGAACAATGAATGACGTTGTCGAGGAAAAAACAAACAATACAAGGTATAGAAAACAAGTTAAATCACGAAGATTCCATGACTTTTTTTTTCTTGATGATTAAATTGTTTTTCGCTCCCGTGTAATAAAAGGAAGAGGAACTGAACTCCATTCATAGGCAGAACTCCTCATTGCTTTCTTTCGATAAGCTTAAAGCTAGGTGAGTGGTTACAAATAATGTTGATCTTTAAAGAAAAATAAAAACATTAGACCCTAAGCTATAAAATTAAAATTTTCGTTGGAGATGATTCTTATGCCAACAATTTTTTAATCTTAAATGTACTCATTCATATAATTTTCAATTTTTTTTTATTCTATGTACCCATTCTTAAATACACCAATTTGTTATATGTAAAATGTACCCTTTTTTAATATAAAATGTGCAAAATTTTTTATATAAAATGTACCCAATTTTTTAATATAAAATCTATTCAAAATTTTTTAATCCATTTTTAAACTTATATGGGTACATTCTTTTTCGTTGATTTGAGAATGTATCCATGTCAAGTTTAATCGAAGAAATGTACTAATGTTATTAAGCCTAATATCTTCTTCCTTCTATGTTTTGAAGAATGTACTCATGTTTTGGTACAATAATTTTTTTGTTGTTAATTTTGATAAATGCACCCATACACACACGCACGCACACAATATATAAGAGAGAGAGAGAGAGAGTATAATTTATATTTTATTATTTTTAATCCCACAAATTATGAATTTTATTTAAAATCTCATTAATATAAACAAATACAAATTTAAATAAAATATAGTAACTTACACTATTACATTAATGTCAGGAACTTTGATAAAAAACTAAAAACACACAAGGTTTCAATCAAAGAATATTGCTAGGAACTGCATCCAAAGTGTTTCTTTTTTAAAACTTTATCTATAAAATTAATCATGTTAAATCTTGCAATATATAATTAATATTGTGCACACCCAAAAATATGTGTAAGTGCTGAATAGGATATTAACTAGCTTCGAAAGACTTCCATCGATTCGTCGGCCTGTCACTTTGAATGCATGTTTAGCTTCACAAGAACGTTTATGTTGATGATCAATGGCTTATAATCTGGTTCACGAGACCTCATGCCCATGATTAGTGGAACAAAAGTTACTTTGTTTATGAAAAAGATAGGAGCCTCAGTGACATTTTTATTAGTAGGAGTGACAATTAATTGATTGTTATGTGTGCAAAGCTCGAGAAAATAAAATACTAAACCTAAATTGAAGGCTAAATTAATTAATAGTCACGTACTATTGAATAAATTGTGTGTATATATTGTAAATCCTACTACATGGAAGAACTTCAACTCATGTAATTAACATGAGATAAGTAAGTATAACGATAAATAAATTGAGGTATGGAGTATATATACACAGAATTAGAACCTGTATTAAAAAGATAAATAAGCATTGAAATGAGTCACATATGTAAACGATGACTTGACTGCAAGTCTTCAAGTGATTTTATCTGCTCAAAGTATTATGTTCACATTCTTTAAGATCAAACAAACATACATATTAAACTAAATGATCAAGTTTGTAAATTATTACATGCAAACGATGAATGACTTCTATTCTTCAAGTGATGGGGATGGGCTGATTTTATCAAAACGATGACTTGACTTCAAGTCTTGAAGCGATGGTCTGAGCAAATTGTTATATTCACGATCACCACCCATTTCTCCACCGTCTTGACTTCTTGTATGTTTAGGATCACTATTTTTTTGGATTCTTTTGTAGTCCATAGCTCCCGTAGCTCATTGAAAGAAACAACTTTGTATATACTGTCTACAAAAAAAGGGACGTCGATTTCTCCACCTTTAATTATGTGAGATCCTAAGCATATTTAATCCGGACATAAAAATAAATAAAAACAAAAACATACATCATAATCTGAAAAAATAAGAGTCCTTTTGATGACCTAAATTTTTAGTTTTTAATTTTGAGAAATGAAGTCATTTAGTACTACGATTTAGTGATATTACTCTTTAATTGTAAATGAGAGATTTTAGACTCGAATTTGGTAAATAAAAAATTCATACCAATTTATTGCCCTACCCTTTTGGGAAATAACCACACACTTGTCTCTCCTATTACACACACGTCATTGTATCTAATCAGTGCATTGAACAGATGAAACAAAAACAACGACTAGGATTAAATAGATGTGTGTACGGTTAGAAAACTAGAGTGTTTACAACATTTCTCTTTGATTTTTAGTTTTCAATTTTCAGATTTCTTTTCAAGGATTGAATAAAGGAAATTTAATTGGTAATTGTTTTCAGCTTTCAACAGTGAACTAGTATTTATTAGAAACTATCATTCCGCTTATTATCTAATGTGGACTTTGTGGTGTCTTGTTTATTGATTTTCCCATCATGTTTTGATGTTCCAAATGTTAGCATGTTTCTAGAGGATTCTCAAGATAAGGGCGTGGCACTAATTCTCCCATTTTTTTGAGCGGATTGATTGAAATTGATAAGTTTCTTTAATGAGTAATCTATATTCTATCTTCAAGGGTTACATGTTCCAATTCGATCCTAGACAAAAAGGCTTTAGTGAAAAATGAAGAAAAAAGAGTGCAAAATGATACTTTTTTTAACGCTTATAACGATTTTCAAAAGTTAGAAAATAAATTTGCCGAATTTTTAATACCCTTGTCCTTAATCGCTTGACTTCAATTGAGGTTGCCTAATAGATACGCAAAGCTTTCCTATAGTAGCTAGGCTAGCTAGAGCCGTTGCAATTCATCAATTCATCACTAATCAATCGACTAATCAATTCATGACTTCCAAGTCTTCAATTGATTGAGACATCAATTCACCACCCACTAATCAATCGACTCATGCTTTTTTATTTATTTATGCTTTGCATGAGTTGTGTCTATAAAAGGAGTTAACTTCTCTACTCTTAATTATACGAGAGCCATAAAACAATATTTCCTATAACCAAAAACACACTGCCATGAAAATGGAATCTTTGTTGTCCAAATTTACCTGTTTGCATTGTCTTCTTTTGCTATTACTCAATGCTACTCACTGTTTTTCATATGTGCATACTCAGACACAGACACTTTGCCATGCTGACGAGCATTCCTTCTTGTTACAATTCAAGGAAAGCTTTACGATAGACAAGTCAGCTTCTGGATCTCCTTTTGCTTATCCGAAGGTAGCATCTTGGGCTCGAGAAGGAGATCAAAATCAGAGTAACTGTTGTTCGTGGGATGGTATTGAGTGCCATGCGGAATCTGGCCATGTCATTGGCCTTGACCTCAAGAGCAGCTGTCTTTATGGTTCTATCAATTCCAACAGCACCATTTTCCGACTTGTTCACTTGCAGATGCTTGACCTTTCAGATAACAACTTCAATTCGTCTGAAATACCATCGAGATTGGGCCATGACCTTTCGAGTCTGTCTTATCTCAACCTTTCACATTCTGCATTTTCTGGCCAAATTCCATCTGAAATTTCAAAGCTATCCAAACTGTCTACCCTTGTCTTGTCTTACAATAATGGTTTGGAGCTTACGAAGTCCAACATGAGAATCCTAGTCCAAAACTTGACCAGCATAAAACAACTTCATCTTGGTGATGTAGGCATATACTCCACTGTGCCTGATATCTTAGTCAATGCATCTTCTCTCACATCTCTCAATCTAAGCTACTGTGGGTTGTATGGGGAATTCCCAGTAGGCATTTTCCACCTACCAAATCTAGAGGAACTTAGATTATACTCGAACACAAACCTAAATGGTTATTTTCCCACATTTAACAGGACCAATTCCCTCAAAATATTGGTTGTTTCAGAGACAAATTTCTCTGGTGAACTTCCTAGTTCTATCGGAAACCTTCATTCCTTGAATTACTTTGATATCTCATACTGTGGTTTTGATTCCCATGTTCCATCTTCATTTGGAAACCTTACCCAGCTCAGTTTCCTTGAGATGGCTTCATTTCATGACGTTTCTGCAGGCCAATTCTTAGTTCCTGATTCCTTGTCTTGTTTTGGAAAATTAACCAAGCTCAACTACTTGGATCTTTCGCATATTAACTTACGGGGGAATTTCCCACGTTTTGTGGCTAACCTGACCCAACTTGCATTCCTATATTTGTTTGACAATTCATTAACTGGTGAAATCCCTAAGTCGCTTTTCCACCTCAGAAATCTTGAACATTTGCACCTCTCCTTCAATGATTTGCAAGGAGAATTTCCTAAGTCGCTTTTCCACCTCAGAAATCTTGAACTTCTTGGCCTTTCCGATAATAATTTGAGTGGATTAGTTGCGTTTGATGAGTTTTCCAACCTCAAAAAGTTGAAGGCACTTGGTTTATCAGACAACAGGTTATCCGTGCGTGTCAAATCTGGTTCAAGTGCTACTCTTCCAAAGTTCAAAATTCTAAAGTTGGGTGAATGCAACTTGACAGAGTTTCCAGAATTTTTGAAAAATCAATACGAATTGGGAGCCCTAAACCTTTCTGGTAACAACATTCATGGCCAAATACCAAAATGGCTTTGGAATGCAACTAGAGAAACTTTGGTCAATCTCGACCTCAATTATAACTTCTTAACAGGCTTTGAGGAAAATCCAGTCACTCTTCCATGGAAAAATCTACAACTGTTTGATCTTGGTAATAATCGGTTACAAGGGTCATTGCCAATTCCACCACAATCTATCACGGTTTACATGGTCGACAACAATAATTATAGTGGAGAAGTTTCACCATTGTTCTGCAACGTGAATTATCTTCAAGTTCTTGATTTGGCCAACAACAACCTGAGTGGTATGCTTCCACAGTGTTTGGGGAAGTCCAGTAGCTTGGAAATACTGCATTTGATGTTTAATTCTTTCCACGGCCATATTCCTCCATTTTGTGCTAACAAAAATAGTTTGAAATTTGTTGGGTTGGGTTACAATCGGTTACAGGGGATGCTACCAAGATCAATGGCCGATTGCATTCAGTTAGAGTTTCTTCACATTGGCAACAATCAGATTAGTGACATCTTCCCTTCTTGGTTAGGGGTACTTCCAGTATTGAGGGGTCTCATTTTGGGGTCGAATGCATTTCATGGGATAATTGGGAAGCCTCCAACTGATCATGAGTTCCCAAACTTATGCATCATTGATTTATCCAACAATCTATTTTCAGGTATGTTGCCTTCTAAGTACATGGAGAACTGGAATTTCATGAAATATGTTGTCACGAACAAGGAAAGCCGGTACTTTGTAGTCTCATCGAACAACAGCACAGATAAATATGGATATTACTTTCAATTTTCATACGAGATGATAATTCCTGTAAAAGGTGTTAAGTTGACATATGATCGGACCCCCTATGATCTGAGACTCATAGATTTCTCAAGTAATAGATTTGAAGGAGAGATTCCAGCAAGTATCATTGGGAGTCTAAGAGCACTTCAGTTGCTAAACCTCTCCAACAACACTCTCTCTGGTCAAATCCCCTCATCTCTGGCGAACTTGACTGCTCTTGAATCATTGGATCTCTCTCAAAACAAGCTCTCAGGAATGATCCCCGGTTGTTTGGCACAACTCACTTTCCTTGAGTACTTAAACGTGTCGTATAACCATCTTTGGGGGCCTATACCACTTGGCCAACAATTTGGTACATTCCTAGAAGATTCATACCAAGGAAACTCGGGTCTGTGTGGAGAGCTTTTGTCCAAGAAATGCGAGGTTTCTGAGAGCTCGAGACGACTGCCACGATCAAGCTTTGAAGAGGATGAAGAGGCTGGGTTTCCATTTGAGTTTGACTGGTATGTAGTCTTGCCGGGAGTTATTAGCGGACTAATAGTGGGAGTGGTTGCTGGAAACACATTGGCAGACAAGAAGCATGAATGGTTTGTGGAGACATTCAGCAGGAGGAGAAAGCCAACAACCGCAAGGGCGACGAGGGGACGCCGAACTTAGCTTGATGTGTCTACCGGCTAGAGATATGTTTGGGCCTTCAAGGCCAATGTCATGTTTTTTATGATTTCTGGTGCTTCAGCATATGTTGTTATGTTATATTACAATAATGGGGTTCTATAAGTTTGCTTTGTGTAATATTTCTACTTCATCAAATTCAGTGTTATCAACTAAGTCGTTGGAATTACATTTCCTGTTTCCATTTGCTTCTACGTCAAAACTAGCAAAAGTGTCATGCTCTGCTGTGGGTCTTAAATTCGTAGTTTATAGCAAATATGAATCATTTCCCTAATAAAGAGAGAGTTTGAATAACAAGTACATAATAAGCAATTGATACTCAAAAGCTACCAACAGCTTAACTGCATTCATAAACACATATATCACTATACACATAATAGATACTTCTGAAAATTCCATAAAATCACAAATCAACCCATTCATTTCTAAAATAACTCTTTAAGTTACATTACATTTTATTTACTTTGCATTCAAAGCATAAGTGCAATCCAAATGGGAGATTTCTAAGTTACAGTTATATACATTTCCAAAAGTTTCCCACATTGATTAGTCGTTCATTCTGCACCTGCATTTTACCAATTCTACGTTAAGTGTTCTATATACAACTCAGAAAAGCAGATTTTAACAACTACAAGGACGGACAGTAACACCGCATGACGATGTTATGATAAAAAATGATAAACAACATACTAAACAGAAGTGATGTTTTAAATCTGGAATGAATGCATACCTATGAAGAAAATAAAACATCCTAGTAACATTTCAAAATCCAAATCAGAAAATAAAACAAAATTGAATGAACCATGAAGAAAATTTATTCTCCAACAGAAAACTCAGCTACACAAAATCATTGAATTGGAATGAAACTAATGAGAATAAATTGAACAAAACCTAACTCAATTGAAGCTATTCTCTGAAAATCTTCTGAATTAAATTAATAAAACAAAAATAAAAACTTTATAAAGTTAGAGATCATAAGAAAGCATATTAAAGCAGGCAAAAAGAGAAGGAGACAGAGCATCAACTAACAGCAGATTTCCTCCAGACTTGCTTAAGAAGTTGGGTACAGATCTGTCTTCTAATGCAAAACCATAAAGTGAGTTGTAATCTAAAGGCTCCTACCTTAAAATTAGACGTATTTATCAAATATATCATTTAATAATCCTCACGCATGTAATTATCCTAAATAATCAAATGCGAAACATATATCATAATCTTCGGTTGAGAAAGTCAGTTTGTTTTATGGGGTTTTCACTATTTTCAAAATCAATATCAAATTTTGTAAGGATGAGAAAAGAATTTACCTTTGGAAAAGTCTGAACGGTTGCGGCAGTTGGTAGAATCGAAGAGATTTTAGCAGATGAGGCGGGGAGGAAGACGGGGAGAGTAGAGGCAAGCAGCGTGGTGAGTGTTTTAGCGGTGAGAAAAACAATGTGGGAACTGGGAAGTATCTAGAGAAACAGTGGGTTTACAAATTGGAAAGATTTTTTAACATGCCCAGAACACACGATGTGAGTCGTTATATGTTTTTATATAAATAGTACGATTTTTGTATTAAAAAATTAATAATATAAAAAATAAAAATTTTCATCGCTTATATAATAACATTTAGTGTACCACTTATATTATGAACAACAAAAAATTTCTCGACAAGTTGAAGAGGCATGGCCTTTTTGGCCATCTTACAATGTAGCTAAAAAAAATAGCACTGAAAAATGATAGTGAAACAGGGGCTTTTTTGTCCTTCACTGTACTTAGAAACTGTGTTTATTTTCGTTATTGAGCTTTAGTATAGATAATTTATTAGGGCTTTTCACGTGTAAATTCTCCATAAGACCAACTTCAGTTTTTGAACCCAAATTCAAATTTTTTTTAGTACATTGATATTTTACACTAAAGGGAGATGGAGTTTGGTTATGTCACATAATGAGCAATCTAATTTGGTATCGAATTCACCATCCACGAAGTTCAAACTTAAGACCTTTCACTTTCAAGTGAATAGGAATATTAGACCGTGTTACTGAGACCCCAAACTCAAATATTTAAGTTTACTAAAAAACAAAATTTAAGTCTATAAACAGTGAATGTTACTCAAGACCTAAATTTCATGACTTAAAATATTACTTTAATCTAAAGAAGGCTTTTCAATTTAATAAGTGTTTTTCTCAATTTGTTTTGTTCTGTGCATTTCAATTTAATTGTTTTTCTCAAATTTTTTCGTAATTTGTTTTTCTCAGTTTCGGTGATTTGAACACCTAAATCATGTTCTGTTTTTTATCATGTTGATTCAAAGAATGGCCCTTTCTCCTGCCAATCATTTGAACCTAAATGATTAAAAACAGTTCACATTTGCTTCCATTTCCAAGTTGTCATTTGGTTTAAGGTTTTGTAATTTGCCAGCCAAAAGTATAAAATGTCAATTTATTGGAGGTGCTTTTCATTTTGTGATTTAGTTTTATTCCAAGATTTGTTAACCCAATTGCCATTTTACATTTAAGTTAAGTTTATTCCAGGCCTCTGTTACTTTAAAGCTTCATGTTTCTTTACACTTCGTGTTTTACAAGAATCTAGGGCACAGATGAAACCGTGCCAAACTTGGCATTTGGTCATTCAAACAATTGAATGAAAGAAGAAAATTATGGCAAAAGTGGTTGTTAATGAATCTGGATTCATATGGTTGTTGATTTGAAATTGCTTTTCACTTTGAGCAGGGTGCAAGTGGTTAATTAGTTAATTGTTTTCACTCAAGTTTTGCTGATTGTTCAAATGAGTTTTAATCACCTAAATCATGTTCTGTTTTTAAATGGGGAGGTTAGTGGGATCTGTTTTCATAAGTCCCTTTATCTCTCGATGTGAAGCCCACAAACCAATTAGTGACGGTTGAAAGCCTCAAACATTGCGGGCCGAAATGGAGGTACAGTGACGGTTAACAACCGCCTCCATTGTCGATGACGGTATGTTGAATTTCTCGAATTTCCCTTATTTGGGTTTCTTCTATCCTTTTTGCGTTTGATTGGGAGTTTATAAATTAGGGTTCTTGGGGATTTTAAGGTTTTTTAACTCCTTTTTTTTTTTTTTTTTTCAGAAATTGCGTTGTATTTCTCAGATCGGAGCTGTTACGAGTGGCAAGCTAGAGCTGGTATAGATTACGAATATTAGTTTTGCATAGCACTGTAAGTTTGATTGGTAAGGTCATCCTAATTTAAAAAAAAAACAGCCATCTTTCAATTCAATAGTTAAGGCCCTCATTCAAATATGAGTTTTGCATAGCACTGTAAATAGTGTGTGTAGTTGCAGAATTCCTATTTTGATTGGTAGCTTTGTTGTTTTTTGTTAAGTTGATTTGAATTTATAACGAATTTACTTATTTTTTAGTACAATTATATGCTTTCTGGTATTTTGAATCTTTGGATGGAGTTAGTCAAGAGGGCATTGTAATTTTTCAAATTTAGGCTCGACAAATGATTGAAATTTTGAAACTTTGAGCAATTAAAGGCGTTTGGTTTGAGTTTCCGCATTTCATTCACTATGTAGTATATGTGACTGATTATGTTTTTGGTTAAGGATTCGGGATTTTGGGTGATTAGGTTTTAGTTTCTAGCTTTTGGGTTTTTGGGTATATTTTGTGTGAAAGAGAGAGAGATTGGAGATCCAATCGCAGCGACGAATTGAAGAAGATTAAGATCATAGTGATGAACGGAGACGAACAGACCCTCTCCTTAGACATCGATCCTTATGAGAATGTAAAACCCTTACTTTTCACTTCAGCAGAAACCCCCAATTGATATTATAGTTCTTTCGATTAATTTTGAAGTTCAAGTTCTCCTTTTTTTTACTTGATTTTTTTTTTTTTTGGTGATAGGTTGAGAATGTGAAAGCTCTGGTAGAGGTGGAGGTGAGAAATTTAATTTAATTCATGATTTATTGTTGTTTTTTATACTTTATTTTTGTGGGATTGTGCTGTTTTGGGGAAAACAATATTAAATTGAAATAAAGTTTAGGTCTTTCTGTAATTGCGATTTAGAGTAAGAGATGAAGAACTGAATATGATTGTAGAATTAAAAGTTCAGAACTTTTTTGGTTTGAAAGTTAATTTTAAATTTAGTTAGCTGATTAGTTAATAGAGAAATGTATAACAAATGCGTGATATGTTTTTCGACGCATTTGAGCACACATGGGTGATTAGTTAGCTGCTTCATGCGTTTAATTGGAGGGGGGGAGGGGTGATGTCGGTGTCACAAAGAGGTTTGCATGGTTTGCACAGTCACAGGGGGTGGGTGTAGGATTTCAGGAAGAAAAAGGGGGGGCCTGAGCGGTGATGCTCGAATTTGGGGGGGGGGGGGGGGGGCTGTTTCTGCGTGTGTGGTCTTTAGTGAAATATGGATCCATAACAGCTTTAAATTTTTGCTTTTTACATGCTTTACTACTCTCTAATTGTTCAAGTCTGTCAATCGATTGATGGGTTTTTCTTTCAATTCATGAAAAGAAACCATATCTACGAGAAGGCCATGCTTGTTGAATTGTAATCTTGTCTTGGCCCAAAGATAATTGATCCGGCCCATACACAAAGAAAGATCCATGCACATGCTAGAGAATTCTAGCAAAGTTCAAGTTGGTGGAAGAGTCTAGAAGAATGGTGAGGATTCCACCAATATACAAGATTAGTGTAGATAATTCTAGCTTAGGAAGGTAATGAAATTATCTAGATATCTCTAGCATGATGTTTTCATGCTTCTCCAAGGTTCCATCCATGCCTATAAAAGGAGAAGGCATCCACACCATTTGTAACAACCAAGAGAGCAAGTAGCAAGAAGTGAGAGTGTCAAGTAAGAAGTAAGAAGAAGCAACAAAGCTTCTAAGAGTGTTTGAGTGTTTCCTTTTGTACTAAGTTTGTGAGTGAATAAAAACCTTGTGTAATATTTTGAGAATTCTTTCTTTCTCTTGCCTATCAATTCCGCTGCGTTACATTTTTCTTTGTGAGATAAACATCTCCAGAGTAGTGAAGCATTTTTAAACCCCAACAAAGTGGTACCAGAGCTATGGCTAGCAATGCTATGGCAGCCTTCTAAGTTCCAGTGCTCGACAGCAACAACTTCGATAATTGGAGTATCAAAATGAAGGCCCTTTTGGGTGCACACTATGTCTGGGAAGTCGTGGAGAAAGGCTACACTGAGCCAGAAGATGAAGCTACTCTGTCTCAACCCTAGAAGGAGAGTTTGAAAGATTCAAGAAAGAGAGACAAGAAGGCTCTCTACCTCATCTACCAAGCATTAGATGACAATGGCTTTGAGAAGGTCTCGAGTGCAACCTCTGCCAAGCAAGCATGGGAGAAGCTTCAAACCTCTTACAAAGGAGCCGAACAAGTGAAAAAGGTTCGTCTTCAAGTATTAAGAGGTGAGTTCGAATCTCTACAAATGAAAGGGTCTGAATCAATCTCTGATTATTTCTCAAGAGTCTTAGCCGTTTCCAATCAATTAAAAAGAAACGGAGAAAAGTTAGAAGATGTTAGAATTATGGAGAAGATACTACGCTCGTTGGACCCCAAGTTCGAGCACATTGTCGTGACGATTGAAGAAACTAAAAACTTGGAAGAAATTAGTATAGAGCAATTAATGGGTTCACTACAAGCATATGAAGAGAAACATAAGAAGAGGCAAGGGAATGATGAGCAGCTCCTTAAGACGCATGTTCAGCCAAAGAAGAAAGACGAAAGCTTCGACAACGAGAGAAGCCGATACGGAAGAAGTCGTGGTCGAGGTCGCGGACGTGGACATGGGCGTGGATGTGGTTGGAACTTAAACAACCATATCAACTACGAAAGAGGAGAAAGCTCAACAAAAGGTCGCGGAAGAGGACACTCAAACTCAAGGTATGAAAAATCTCAAGTTCAATGCTATAATTGTCAAAAGTTTGGGCATTATGCTTGGGAATGTAGATCTCCAAACAGCAGACTTGATGAGAAGGTCAATTATGTGAAAGAAGAGCAAGAAGAGAATGGCGTTGTGCTACTAGCATGCAAGAACAATGATGGAGACCAAGACTATACATGGTACCTTGACACTGGCGCCAGCAACCACATGTGCGGAAGAAGAAGCATCTTCGTAGAGCTCAATGAATCAGTGAGTGGCAACGTTTCTTTTGGAGATGAATCCAAAATACCCGTAAAAGGAAAAGGTAACATCCTTATTCCCTTGGAAAATGGCAGTCACCAATTAATTTCAAATGTCTACTACGTGCCCAATATGAAAAGCAACATTTTGAGTTTGGGTCAACTCTTAGAAAAAGGTTATGATTTTCATACGAAAAATTATATCCTTTTTCTTAGAGATGACAAAGGAAGATTAATTGCCAAGGCGAAAATGTCAAAGAATAGGATGTTTCCCATGAACATTCAAAACGATGTTGCAAAGTGTCTTAAGATATGTTACAAAGACATATCTTGGCTTTGGCATCTTCGTTTTGGGCATCTTAACTTTGGGGGATTGGAGTTATTATCTAAGAAGGAGATGGTGCGAGGCTTACCGTGCATCAGCCACCCTGATCAAGTTTGTGAAGGATGTTTACTTGGGAAACAGTTCAGGAAAAGCTTTCCAAAGGAGTCGACCACAAGAGCCCAGAAGCCACTCGAGCTCATTCACACCGATGTGTGCGGTCCAATAAAACCAAGCTCTTTGGGTAAAAATAATTATTTCCTTCTCTTTATTGATGATTTTTCAAGAAAAACCTGGGTGTATTTCTTGAAGCAGAAATCAGAAGTCTTTGGAGCATTCAAGAAGTTCAAAGTCGATGTAGAAAAGGAGAGTGGTTGCAAGATCAAAGCCATGAGATCTGATCGAGGAGGAGAATTCACTTCGAAGGAATTTCAAGAGTTTTGTGAAGCAAATGGAATTCGTCGACCTTTGACAGTTCCAAGATCCCCTCAACAAAATGGAGTGGCAGAAAGAAAAAATCGAACCATCCTTGACATGGCTCGAAGCATGCTCAAAAGCAAGAAATTGCCTAAGGAATTGTGGGCAGAAGCTGTAGCATGTGCTGTCTACCTATCCAATCGGTCTCCAACAAGGAGTGTGTGGGGAAAAACTCCGCAAGAAGCATGGAGTGGAAGAAAACCAGGTATTTCTCATCTAAGAGTTTTTGGAAGCATAGCCCATGTACACGTACCAGACGAGAGACGAGAGAAGAACCAAACTTGACGACAAAAGTGAGAAGTTCATCTTCATCGGCTATGACACCAATTCAAAAGGCTATAAGCTGTATAATCCAAACAATGGGAAGACGGTGATCAGTCGAGACGTGATGTTCGATGAAGAAGTAGAATGGGATTTTGGCCCGCATGCAGGTGATCTTCACTTCTTTCCTCAATTTGAAGAAGAGAATGAACAAGGGATGATGGAGCAAGCAAGAGAGGTTCAACAAGAATCCACTACTCCACCTGCTTCACCAACATCAACCAATCATGGTAATTCATCAACATCAGAATTGTCAAGTGGGAGTCTAAATGAAAGAGAAGTACCACGCACAAGAAGTATACGAGATCTTTATGAGGTAGCTGAAAGACTTGATAATCCTACACTTTTCTGTCTCTTTGCTGATTGTGAACCAGTCGACTTCCAAGAAGCAGTGCAAGATACTAAGTGGAGGAAAGCAATGGATGAAGAAATTGAAGCAATCCAGAAGAATGATACATGGGAACTCGTTATTCTTCCGAAAGGACACAAAGCCATCGGAGTCAAGTGGGTGTACAAGACAAAGAAAAATGCCAATGGAGAGGTCGAAAGATACAAGGCAAGACTAGTGGCGAAAGGTTATAGTCAAAGAGCCGGAATCGACTATGATGAGGTATTCGCACCCGTTGCTCGGTTGGAAACTATACGATTACTAATTTCTTTGGCAGCTCAAAACAGTTGGAAGATTCAACAAATGGATGTGAAGTCCGCCTTCCTAAATGGAGTCCTTGAAGAAGAAGTCTACATTCAGCAACCGTCAGGCTATGAGATCAAAGGGCATGAAGACAAAGTTCTGAAGCTGAAGAAAGCCCTCTATGGGTTAAAACAAGCGCCACGAGCATGGAATAGTCGCATCGACAAGTACTTTCAGGAAAACAACTTCATCAAGTGCCCTCATGAACATGCTCTTTACGTCAAAGTCAAAGATGGAGATATTTTGATTGTGTGCTTATATGTGGATGATCTAATCTTCACCAGGAGTAATCCAAGCATGTTTGAAGAGTTCAAGAGAGTGATGACCAAAGAATTTGAGATGACCGACATCGGGTTGATGGCATATTACCTAGGCATTGAAGTCAAGCAGAACGAAGAAGGAATTTTCATCTCCCAAGAAAGCTACACAAAGGAGATACTGAAAAAGTTCAAAATGGACGACTGCAAGCCCGTGAGCACGCCAATGGAGTGCGGAGTCAAACTAACCAAGTATGACAAAGGAGAAAGCGTAGATCCAACATTTTTCAAAAGTCTAGTTGGAAGCTTGCGCTACTTGACTTGCACAAGACCAGATATTCTCTATGCTGTCGGATTAATCAGTCGCCACATGGAGAATCCCACAACTACACATTTGAAAACGGCCAAAAGAATTCTTCGATACCTCAAAGGTACTGTTAACTTTGGCTTGTTTTATTCAAGTTCTGATAACTACAAACTTGTTGGATATAGCGACAGTGATTGGGCAGGAGATTCCGACGATAGAAAAAGCACTACTGGATTTGTGTTCTTCATGGGAGACACTGCATTCACATGGATGTCGAAGAAGCAACCGATTGTCACTCTCTCTACCTGCGAAGCTGAATATGTAGCTGCTACTTCATGTGTCTGCCATGCAATCTGGCTGAGAAACTTGCTGAAAGAATTAAGAATGCGACAAGAAGAGCCAACAAAGATCTATGTCGACGACAAGTCTGCAATAGCTCTAGCAAAGAATCCAGTATTCCATGACAGGAACAAACACATAGATACCCGTTATCATTTCTTAAGAGAGTGCATTGCAAGAAAGGATGTGCAAGTGGAATACGTGAAGTCTTAAGACCAAGTTGCCGACATATTCACCAAGCCACTCAAACAAGAAGACTTTGTCAGACTAAGAAACTCAATTGGCGTCACAAGACAAGATTAAGGGGGGATGTTGAATTGTAATCTTGTCTTGGCCCAAAGATAATTGATCTGGCCCATACACAAAGAAAGATCCATGCACATGCTAGAGAATTCTAGCAAAGTTCAAGTTGGTGGAAGAGTCTAGAAGAATGGTGAGGATTCCACCAATATACAAGATTAGTGTAGATAATTCTAGCTTAGGAAGGTAATGGAATTATCTAGATATCTCTAGCATGATGTTTTCATGCTTCTCCAAGGTTCCATCCATGCCTATAAAAGGAGAAGGCATCCACACCATTTGTAACAACCAAGAGAGCAAGTAGTAAGAAGTGAGAGTGTCAAGTAAGAAGTAAGAAGAAGCAACAAAGCTTTTAAGAGTGTTTGAGTGTTTCCTTTTGTACTAAGTTTGTGAGTGAATAAAAACCTTGTGTAATATTTTGAGAATTCTTTCTTTCTCTTGCCTATCAATTCCGCTGCGTTACATTTTTCTTTGTGAGATAAACATCTCCAGAGTAGTGAAGCATTTTTAAACCCCAACAATGCTGTGTTGAAACTCTAAATTTCACTCTTTAGGCCCTCTTTGACTTGAATTCATAGCCAGTGTGACTGCTTTTGCAAATTGAATTCAATTTTTAGCTTGGCAGAAGGCGTTTAAATTGGTGCAACTTTCCACTTCTTGGTTCTCTAATCCTAGGGTTTTGGTTTTGGTTTTTTTTTTTTTTTTTTTTTTTTCTTTTCTCTTCTCTCTCTTCCTCTTAGTACTTTGATTTGGGGCGACAATGATGTAGCCTGATCCACAACACCACAAACAACAGCACCCGCAACATCAGCAACAACACCCTCAACATCAGCAGCACCACCCTCAACATCACCACCGGCCCCAATGATGCGTCAGCCGTCAGTATGGCCCGTGTATCACAACCCGCCTGTGCTCTCTCCTCCTCTTCCTCCTAATGATGGTTTGTACCAAATTATGCCTTTGTCTTTGCTATTTTGTTCTGGTTCTTTCCTGTTTAAGTTGGAAATTAATGGAGAATAAAAGAAAACAATTTGAATTGTGGGGAAGTACCTAAACAAGAATTTGGTTGCATTATACTTATTTTGTTGACTGGGATTTTCAACTTTAAAGTGTATTAAACCATTAGAACTGGTTTTGGATCTTGAAGTTATTGAGATTTGCAATCCAAGGGTGTAAATGATATTTGCAAATAGTGGTTTAATTTTTTTAAGAAGTTTAGTGCAGAATTTAATGAATTTTCCCTTTTTTTATAATGCGTGACAAATGGTTTGTTTGTTGCAGCTCATGCTGACAGTTTTCTTGGATAAAAGATGAGAAAGCTTGCACAGAGGAGAGCAGTTGATTATACTAGCACTTTCGTGCGATATATGCAGGTAAAGTATTCATTTTTTTTATACTTGTTCTTCTCTCTTTGACTTTCTTACTGTCATCATTTCGGCAAGCAGTCACCATTTAAGGATTAAAATCTAATTTTTTATAAAATTAATCATGTTACATCCTGCAATATATAATTAATATTGTGCGCACCCAAAAATTTGTGTAAGTGGTGAATAGGATATTAGCTAGCTTCGAAAGACTTCCATCGATTCGTTGGCCTGTCACTTTGGTTAGCTTTACAAGAACGTTTATGTTGATGATCAGTGGCTTATAATCTGGTTCACAAGACCTCATGCCCATGATTAGTGGAACAAAAGCTACTCTGTTTGTGAAAGAGATAGTAGCCTCAGTAACATTTTTATTAGTAGGAGTGACAACTAATTGATTGTTATGTGTGCAAAGCTCGAGAAAATAAAACACTAACCTCAAATTAAAAACTAAATTAATTAATATTCACGTACCATGAATAAATTGTGTGTATACATAGTAAATCCTACTACATGGACGAACTTCAACTCAAGTCATTAACATTAGATAAATAAGTGTAACAAAAAATAAATTGAGTTAAGGAGTATATATACACAGAATTAGAACATGTATTAAAAAGATAAATAAGCGTTGAGATAAGTCACATATGCAAACGACGACTTGACTTCAAGTCTTCAAGTGATGGCGATCACCTGATTTAATCTACTCAAAGTATTACATTCACATTTTTTAAGATCAAACGAGCGTATAGATAAAACTAAATGATCGTGTTTGCAATTATTACATGCAAACGATGAATGACTTCAAGTCTTCAATTGATCAAGACATCAATTCACCACCCATTCATCGATCGACTCATACTTTTTTTTATTTATGCTTCACATGAGTTGTGTCTATAAAAGGAGTTAACTTCTCCACTCTTAATTATTCGAGAGCCATAAAACAATATTTCCTATAACCAGAAAAACACACTGCCATGAAAATGGAATCTTGGTTGTCCAAGTTTACCTGTTTCCATTGTCTTCTTTTTCTATTACTCAATACCACTCACTGTTTTTCATTTGTGCAGACTCAGACACGGACACTTTGCCACGCTGACGAGCACTCCTTCTTGTTACAATTCAAGGAAAGCTTTACGATAGACTAGTCAGCTTCTAGATCTCCTTTTGCTTATCCGAAGGTAGCATCATCTTGGGCTCGAGAAGGAGATCAGAATCAGAGTAAATGTTGTTCGTGGGATGGTGTTGAGTGCCATGCGGAGTCTGGCCGTGTCATTGGCCTTGACCTCAAGAGCAGCTGTCTTTATGGTTCTATCAATTCCAACAGCACCCTCTTCCGACTTGTTCACTTGCAGATGCTTGACCTCTCAGATAACAACTTTAATTCGTCTGAAATACCATCGAGATTTGGCCATGACCTTTCGAGTCTATCCTATCTCAACCTTTCACTATCTGCATTTTCTGGCCAAATTCCATCTGAAATTTCAAAGCTATCTAAACTGTCTACCCTTGATCTGTCTCAAAATAATGGTTTGGAGCTTAGGAAGTCCAACATGAGAATCCTAGTCCAAAACTTGACCAGCATAAAACAACTTCATCTTAGTGATGTAGGCATATACTCCACTGTGCCTGATATCTTGGTCAATGCATCTTCTTTCACATCTCTCAATCTAAGCTACTGTGGGTGGTAGGGGGAATTCCCAGTAGGCATTTTCCACCTACCAAACCTAGAGGAGCTTAGTTTATACTCAAACATTGGTTATTTTTCCTACTTTTAACCGGACCAATTCCTTCAAAACATTGGATGTTTCATCGACAAATTTCTCTGGTGAACTTCCTAATTCTATCGGAAACCTTCATTCCTTAAACTACTTTGATATCTCATACTGTGGTTTTGATTCCCATGTTCCATCTTCATTTGGAAACCTTACCCAGCTCAGTTTCCTTGAGATGGCTTCATTTCATGATGTTTCCGCAGGCCAATTCTTAGTTCCTGATTCCTTGTCTTGTTTTGGAAAATTAACCAAGCTCAGCTACTTGGATCTTTCGGATATTAACTTACAATTTCCCACGTTTTGTGGCTAACCTGACCCAACTTGCGTTCCTATATTTGTCTACAATTCATTAACTGGTGAAATCCCTAAGTCGCTTTTCCACCTCAGAAATCTTGAACATCTGAACCTCGCCTCCAACTGTTTGCAAGGAGAATTTCCTAAGTCGCTTTTCCACCTCAGAAATCTTGAACGTCTTGGCCTTTCCGGTAATAATTTGAGTGGATTAGTTGAGTTTGATGAGTTTTCCAACCTCAAAAAGTTGAAGGTACTTGGTTTATCGGACAATAGGTTATCCGTGCGTGTCAAATCTGGTTCGAGTGCTACTCTTCCAAAGTTCGAATTTCTAAAGTTGGCTGAATGCAACTTGACAGAGTTTCCAGAATTTTTGAAAAATCAATACGAATTGGGAGGCCTATACCTTTCTCGTAACAACATTCATGGCCAAATACCAAAATGGCTCTGGAATGCAACTAGAGAAACTTTGGTCAATCTCGACCTCGGCTCTAACTTCTTAACAGGCTTTGAGGAGAATCCAGTCACTCTTCCATGGAAAAATCTACAACTGTTTAATCTTGCTAATAATCGGTTACAAGGGTCATTGCCAATTCCACCACAATCTATCACGGTTTACATGGTCGACAACAATAATTATAGTGGAGAAGTTTCACCCTTGTTCTGCAACTTGAATTATCTTCAAGTTCTTGATTTGGCCAACAACCTGAGTGGTATGCTTCCACAGTGTTTGGGGAAGTCTAGTAGCTTGGAAATACTGCATTTGATGTTTAATTCTTTCCACGACCATATTCCTCCATTTTGTGTTAACAAAAATAGTTTGAAATTTGTTGGGTTGGGTTACAATCGGTTACAGGGGATGCTACCAAGATCAATGGCCGATTGCATTCAGTTAGAGTTTCTTCACATTGGCAACAATCAAATCAGTGACATCTTCCCTTCTTGGTTAGGGGTACTTCCAGTATTGAGGGGTCTCATTTTGGGGTCGAATGCATTTCATGGGATAATTGGGAAGCCTCCAACTGATCATTGATTTATCCAACAATCTATTTTCAGGTATGTTGCCTTCTAAGTACATGGAGAACTGGAATTTCATGAAATATGTTGTCACAAACAAGGGAAGCCGGTACTTTATAGTCTCATTGAACGACAGCACAAATACATATGGATATTACTTTCAATTTTCAAACGAGATGATAATTCCTGTAAAAGGTGTTGAGTTGAGATATGTTCAGACCCCCTATGATATGAGACTTATGGATTTCCTTGGGTACTTCAACGTGTCGTATAACCATCTTTGGGGGCCTATACCACTTGGCCAACAATTTGGTACATTCCTAGAAGATTCATACCAAGGAAACTCAGGTCTGTGTGGAAAGCTTTTGTCCAAGAAATGCAAGGCTTCCGAGAGCTCGAGGCAACCGCCACGATCAAGCTTTGAAGAAGATGAAGAGGCTGGATTTCCATTTGTGTTTGACTGGTATGTAGTCTTGCCGGGAGTTGTTAGCGGACTAATAGTGGGAGTGGTTGCTGGAAACACATTGGCAGACAAGAAGCATGAATGGTTTGTGGAGAAATTCAGCAGAAGGAGAAAGCCAACAACCACATGGGCGAGCAGGGGACGTCGAACTTAGCTTGATGTGTCTACCGGCTAGAGAAATGTTTGGGCCTTCAAGGCCAATGTCATGGTTTTTATGATTTCTGGTGCTTCAACATATGTTGTTATGTTGAATTACAATAATGGGGTTCTATAAGTTTGCTTTGTATAATATTTCTACTTGATCAGATTCAGTGTTATCAACTAAGTAGTTGGAATTACATTTCTTGTTTTCATTTGCTTCAAAACTAGCAAAAGTGCCATGCTTTGCTATGGGTTTTAAATTCATAGTTTATAGCAAATATGAAACATTTCCCAAAAAAAGAGATGGAGTTTGAATAACAATACATAATAATCAATTGATACTCAAAAGCTACCAACAGCTTAACTGCATTCACAAACACATATATCACTATGCACATAATAGATACTTTTGAAAATTCCATAAAATCACAAATCAACCCATTCATTTCTAAATATTTCAAAAATTAACAGAACAGCTAAACCGACAAGGTAAAACAAGTCTTTAAGTTACATTACATTTGATTTACTTTGCATCAAGAGCATATGTGCAATCCAAATGGGAGATTTCTAAGTTACAGTTATATACATTTTCAAAAGTTTTCCACATTGATTAGTCGTTCATTTTGCACCTGCATTTTACTAATTCTACATTAAGAGTTCTATGTCCAACTCAAAAAAGCATATTTTAACAACTAAAAGGACGGACAGTAACACCGCATGACGGTGTTATGATAAAAAATGATAAACATACTAAACGGAAGTGATGTTTTAAATATGGAATGAATGCATACCTGAAGAGTTGATTTCAAATTGGTGATCCCTTTCCCATCCTGGTAACATTTATCAATTGGAATCAATAAAATTTTCTTGATGAGGGCAAAGCTAGGAGTCTCAATTTCAAAATCCAAATCAGAAAATAAAACAAAATTGAATGAACTATGAAGAAAATTTATTCTCCAACAGAAAACTCAGCCCCACAGAAAATCATTGAATTGGAATGAAACTAATAAGATTAAATTGAACAAAACCTAACTCAATTGAAGCTATTCTCTGAAAATCTTCCGAATCAAATTAATAAAACAAAAATAAAAAATTTAAAAAGTTAGAGATCAGAACAAAGCATATTAAAGCAGGCAAAAAAGACGGAGACAGAGCATCAACTAAGAGCAGATTTCCTCCAAACTTACTTAAGATGTTGAGTACAGATTGTCTTCTAATGCAAAACCATAAAGTGAGTTGTAATCTAAAGGCTCCTACCTTAAAATTGGACGTATTTATCAAATATATCATTTAATAATCCTCAAGCTTGTAATTATCCTAAATAATCAAATGCGAAACCATTTACTTGGTCAAATCTTATAATTGCTCAGTTTGTTTTTTACTTTCCAAAGGCAAACAGCTTAGAAACATATATCATAATCTTCGGTTGAGAAAGTCAGTTTGTTTTATGGGGTTTTCACTATTTTCAAGATCAATATTAAATTTTGTAAGGAAGAGAAAAGAATTTACCTTTGGGCAAGTCTCACCGGTTGCGGTGGTTGGTAGAATCGAAGAGATTTTAGCAGATGAGGCGAGAAGGAAGACGGGGAGAGTAGAGGCAAGCAGCGCGGTGAGGGTTTTAGCTGTGAAAAAAACAAACGGTGGGTTGATAAACTGAAGAGATTTTTTAATGTACGCGAACACAAGATAGTTTACCATTTGTCTTTATATAAGTGGTAAGATTCTTGCATTAAAAAATTAATAACATAAAAAATAAAATTTTCTACTATTTATAAAATAACATGTGATGTATCACTTGTGTTACACACACAAGAAAAAATTTCTGGACAAATTGAAGAGGCAGGGCCTTTTTGGCCATTTTACTATGCAGCTAAAAAAATAGCACTGAATAATAATAGTGAAACAGAGGCTTTTCTGTCCTTTCATTGTGCTTAGGAATATTATTTTTTTTTTCCTTATTGAGCTTTAGTATGGATAATTTATTGGAACTTTTCACGTGTAAACCCTCCATAAGACCAACTTCAATTTTTGGACCCAAACTTAATTATTTTTTTTTATTACATCGATATTTTACAATAGAAGGAAGAAGAGTTCGGCTAAACCACACAATAAACAACCTAATTTGGTATCGAACAAATCACATCAATCAACCTCAAGCAAATATTATATTTAAAAGAGAGATGGTTATAAAACATGGATGTATACTCTTACAGATTAATCCTAAAATTCGTATTCACGTACCTATATTCTCACAAGTGGATCGAAAAATGATTTGAGTTTTCACATTTTCTCCTCCAATTTGTACACTCAAATTTGAATTTTAAGTTCAAAGTTCAAACCTTGCATTGTAGAAGGCAAAATTTATATTTCGTTGTTACATTGGTGCTCCACAATATAACTTGTGTATTATATGAAACTTATATTTGAGTTCGAATTTGACAAAAGCTTATATTTAGGTTATAACTAGAAAAATTGCCCGCGCTTCGCTGCGGGTTTTAAAACCTTTATCCACAACATGCATGAATAATTTGCACAAAAAGATGCACTACAAAGACGGTACGAACGGAGTCACACCCTAAAATGCACCAATGCAGATAACACGCATTTCACTAGAGTAAATCCAACAAAATCACAAATCAATACAGACATCTCTAAAGAATTTAAATGACCAAGAGATGAGGGAACCAAGCTGATAAGTATTTAAATAACCAAGAGATGGGTGAACCGAGCTGATGAGAATTTAAATAACCAAGAGATCGGTGAACCACGGGAAGAAAAGTATGCTACCTTTTATTATAATTGGAACGAATTTAAAAATATCTCACCATCACACTGCCCAGAACTACAACTCTAAGGAGAAAGTGAGAATTAAAGAGCTATTCTCCAGATGATTCTCAAAACATCCTTTTACAATTTTTCACCCAATATCTCCAATGTATGATTATAGGTCAAATGCACAACAGTAAACTGGGTAAGGGGGAAAATCTACCCTAGGAGTCAATAACGAAAGGAAATACAGGCTAAAACACTCTTTGAATTGTTCCAACAATAGGATAATAGGATTCACTAAATCATTAGGATAATAGGTTCCACTGGATGAGGGTGCGCGAGCATATAGTTCACCTGCAAGGATACATCAGACCATCCTTCAATCTCGCTGACAACAAACCTACCCTCTCCCTTCTCTCTCTGTCTGAATTCCTTTCAAATGACAGACAAATACAACCACCATACATGAAATCACATTTTCGCTTCTCCCAAGCACTAAAGCTGAAAAACAAAGTAGACTTCCGAAATCAAAATAATTGATTTTACCATCCTCAACGTGCTCGAAACCCAAAAGAACAAAGACAGAAATGAAAGCAAAGAGAATAACTTCAATCATAAATGGACTTAAAGCACTCAATTCAGTGAATTCATTAATCTTCTATCTTATGTTCCCTCTATTTTCTAGGAAACCAATAAGAAAATGAGAAATGAGTTTAACGCTATTCAAAAGGGAGAAAAGTGCGAATTCCCTATCACTCAATTTCTAATATCAAACAAACAAAATTAATCCAAACCCAAAACAACATTAAACGTAAATATTCAAACTTTACTGCCTTTTAGCTCTCTGAATTTACTATCAAACCAAAAACAGAAACTAAATCCAGTAAAAAAATTATCCATTTTTTAAAACCACTTGTCATTTCAACATTAAAAAAAAGGAACAGAAACAGTCCTAATTACTCCACGACACTGCGCTTTTTTTGGTCTAGTAATGCTGGATACATGAAAACTTAAAGCTCCAAAGTAGACATCCAAGAAAATTAAATCCTTCTGCAAGGGATACAACTATTAACAAAGATTTGGGAAATTTCAATTTTATGAATTTCTGAATGACAAGCTCAGATCTTGGAAATAAACAATAATATTACTATAGGCAAAGAAAAAAGAAGAAAAATGTAAGCCAGTATTATAGGTGGTCCATGGAAATGACAAATTGCACTGCAATAAATCTCCGAATTGCTCATTGTCCACCATCCCCAACTCAAACTCAAATAGAGAGAGGCACCACAGGGGTTAGAAATTTAATATTAGTGTTCAACTAAACTTCTAGAGTCCCCAAAAAAAGATCCTATTTTGCTAAAGATACCCGAAACAGTGTACAATGCAATCCAAACCCAATCAAATTAAAATCCCTAATATCAAATTTAAGAATCCCAATTACGCAAAAACTGACCTAATTAATGGGATATCCCAGTGAGTACTATTCAAATGTTTCATTACAGAAAAGAGGTAGCTGAGAAACCTCATATCTGAGAACCGAACTGAGAAGTTGGTTTATGTTGCGGAAGTGAACCAAGAAATAACTTCTCCATTTCAAAGCCCCAGTAAATCAGAGTCTACAGATGTCGGATTCTCTCTATCCCAATCAACCAAGTTCTCCATTTCAAACTTCCCATCAAATATTTGACAGCAATACAACCAATAACAATAAAAAATTTAAACCAATCCAAAAACTAAAACCCTTTTAATTTTCCATGTGTATTCAATGATTTGGTTACTATAAAAATAGGAAATATGGAATAATTAGTTGGAGATAGAATCACATATAGAGCTAGCAGAGGAAGCAAAGAAGATATGCAAAAGCATATTAAGAGATCATCATATTGCAAAAGCTACATAAGCAAATTAAGAGATCCTCATATTTGGAGACAGACACACATATAAAGCTGCAAAAACAAATTATTATTGCTGACAAAATACTTGAAAATATAAAGGCTAGGGATTTTCACTCTCTCACTGGAAAAAAAAAAAAATCCCATTTCTGAGTAATATAACCAAACTCATCTTATACAGCAAAGAAGCATAGGACTGAGAAATCAGATCCTAATTTCCAATATCAATAGAGTATGCATTATTCAACTTAAACGTTAATTTCGTTAATGAAGATTAAAATAGGCGCAAAATCCATACAATTTATACGTTACCATTGATTCAAGTTCTGGTAAGGTGTGCGACGGCGATGAGAAGGCGACGTGTGCAACGGAGATCAAATATACCTGCCATCAACCAAAACCAAATGCAAGCAAAACCCATAAGAAAAACCTATCAACTAAAACCAATAATTTATCAATTGCACTACTTAGGTCAAACCCACATTGACATTTCACCCAGAAAAGTAAAAAAAAGAAAAGTTACCTTGCACTGGGCCTCCTGGGCATTTCATGTTCAAACTCCGGGCACTTCATTGGTTGGTGGAAATACCAACGGAGATGAGAAGGCAGGGTGAACAACGAAGATTGCAAAGCAGGGATTGAAGAGATAACGAAACAGAGATCGAAGAGATGGTCAATCGCGTTGCAGAGTGAGAGTTAAGATAAGAAGATACTCACAGCCCAAAACGGATGACATCACCAACACGTAAATCCATATAAACCTTTATGTTCACCCGATTATTAGGCAAGAGAAAACCATTAGGAACAATCAAGAGCCTTTGTATAGAGTTTAACAAAACACCAGCCATCCACACTGCAAAGTTAATTACTAATTTGTAAACAACTCTTAAGATTTCTCAGGTCAATGCGTGTTTTCATTCTTTGAGCCAAACGGTATGGATAAAAAGCGAGGAAAGCAATCAGCTGCATATAAGTACCGGAAACATGGAAATTCATAACCCATACATCGAAAACAAAATCGGAAAGAATTCAAATTAAATTAAATAAACACGATTGAACAAAAGAAGCGTTTGAATTACTCACAATTGTCGAAAATTCGAATGCAGTAATGGAGGAGGAGTTGCAGAGAGGAACTCTGTTCAGCTTTTACTGAAAAGAGGATGATGATTTTTGGTGTGGAAATAACCAACCCTACACCCGCACCTCAACCTCCCCTCCCCCCCCCCCCAACCATACCTCCCCCTTCTCTCTGTGTGCAGCAAACACGCGTCCCTCTCCCAGAAGGCACCCACCCTCTCAACTTCTCTCCCTGTAATCCCGCACCCAAACCCCACTCTGTCTACCTGGAACCCCTACCGTCAACCCTCTCTCTACCTGCAACCCATCAACCCCTCTGAGAACCATGCCTCTGACGACATCGACAGCAACCACCCCTAAAAGCAGAATGACTGAAGTGCCTCCAGATCCTGTCCGTTGGATCTGGTTTGAAGCGGGCAAAAGAGTCATTTAGACTCTTTCTGTGCAACGCAGCCCAACACATCGGACAACCCACTTCTGAAGCCCACACCTGGCCCAAAACCAGCAACCCAAAATAGGCCCAAATCAGGCCTAGGGCACCCAATCCTACGGACAATATTACCCTCCTAACTTTTAGTAATTACCCCAGTCCAACACTGATTTGGTGGCAGCAGTGTGTAGATAAAGCAAAATCAAGGGGCAAAAATTTGACTGTAGCTAAGCTACAATCAAATCTTCCTCAATTTTAGAATAGATAATATTCCAACCTATACGGAAAGCCAAAAGTTAAAGGATCTAACATCACCGTCTAAAATCTCAAAAGTGATTACATGACATGCATGCGTTATTAAACAATATTTGGTTACTCAAAGATGAGTAAGAACTCCTATTTAAAATTTCTCAAAATTGTTCGTTGTCAATTTATAGAACTTCATGTTTATAATCAGAACCGTTCATATTATAAATCACCTTATAAAGATCGCCTCTACAAAAAATCAATTAAAACTAAGATCGTTTAGTCATCAAACTGTTTAAAAACAAATGAACGGTATTGGTAAGAGCATTACAGACTGTATATGTATTTGCTAGGATTGACTAAACGACCTTAGTTTTAATTATTTTTTGTAGAGATGATCTTTACAGTGTGATTCATAATGATGTAAGCAATGCGGAATTTCTGCAATTTGACACATCTAAGGTCCCTGTCATAGTTACATTAACAAAGGTGACAAAATTTAACAATCTCTTCTGTCCCTTAGCGAATTGCAAATGCTATTTAGCCCTGTACTGAGTCATGTGCATATATTTTTCAGGTAGGTAAGCACTATATTGTGGATGCCACTTCAGAAGAGGAATCACAAATGAACTCGGCTGTTTCGATTTCCGTCAATAGGCAAGGGCGCATCTGCGGGTTGACCAAGCGGGGCGGTGCTGATAAACACGTTGGATTCCTAGATAGCTGCTGCTGAAGCTGGTGAAGATGAATCATGACACACTGAGAATCTTATGATATATCTAAGTAGGTGGTTCGAGCAGGTCCTAGTTATATGAAAATTGTAGTTCCGATACCTACACAGCTGGTGAAAACGTTTGATTGGTAGTACGCATATTTGGCACCGTTTAACAAAGATTAGTATTATTAAGCTGTTAAAGAGTTATTATTTTGATCTTAGGTGCATTTCAATATTACTGTTTGGCTTCGACCGAACCTCTGTTTTTCAGAGGTAAGCAGTATATGTATAATATCAGATAGTGTATTACTTAGATGTGAAACCTGCAGACAAACTCAACAGTTCCCATTTTTTACAGGAATTCGCAACAGATGGGAGGAAAAAGAGAGAAGTGGAAACAGTTATGGCCTTGTAATGTATACCATAAATTGTGGTTGCAAAACTGGATCAACTAATTTTACAATCTACATGTCTAATAGAAACACTGCAGACCTTACAAACAGTGAACAAGTTTACATGTTTTCGGAAAAGAAGAATGTTCAGTCCAAACCCTCTACTCCAGAGTAGATAATTTTCACCATATCACAACCTCGAGGCATGAGCCGTCTAGCTTCCATCTCACCACATAACTACTTTACCAATTCTTCTCTCCCACATCCACGAAGTCCTAGACATAAATAAGATAAGATACCTGATTCAAGAGCAATACATCTCTCGAACATTTCCTTCAATACTTGGATTGCCCCCGCCAAAATCCCTGTTATTGCAGAAGCTTGATATATGCAACTTTAAGGTTTGCTCATCAGGATGATAACCACTTCTTATCATGCTTTTACATGACTCAAAGGCACGATCTGCATCCTTTCGCACACACTGCCCGACAATAAGGGCAGAAAGGGTTGATGCATTTGGGACAAAGTGCTTTGTATCGAGTTCTTTAACCAGATACGCAGCTTTCTTTGTTTTACCCTCCTTGCAGAGTCCCAATATCAGTGCATTATAAGTCAGTATATCAGCATTCACTCGGTCCTTTGACATCTCCTCGAAAAGCCTACTGCCCATCTCACTACTACCTGCCCAGCTGTATCCGTTTATCAAACTATTGTAAGTTACTGTATTAGGAGCCACATTCGCGGCTTTGACTCACTAAAAACTCTATTTTCTTCTTGTAGTTTTCCTGCCTTGAAAAACCCATCAATAAGTGTGCTAAAATTTACCACAGTCGGGTGCAATCCATTCTTCGCCATCAAGTTTTTTGAACTTCAAAGACGAACGCAGAAGGCCCTTATCACGGTGCCCTGCAATCAGTGTATTGTAGGACACCACACTAGGGCTACAACCCATGCTCTCCATCTCCTCGAGCACCTCAACAGCGTTCTCTAATTTTCCCAATTTACGGTAAGCAGCCATAACCATATTAAGAGTGCAAACATTTGGCGAAATCCTACAACGCCGCATTTCTCTATAGAACGCCGAAGGGATCGTTCTATGGGGTATATGAATTGGATTCCGATTCCTTATTCCCAATTTCCCAGAAATTGTGGGGTTTGTAACGGTGGGTTCTTTTGGAATCGAAGAGTGCAAACTCGAAAACTGACGAATTGGGAATTCTTCATCGAATTGGGTTTTCTAAAGTTAAATTCTTGGATTGATTCGAGAGTTCAAATCAACTTATGACCGACTAACCTTGATCGACGGGCAGAGGATGAAGAAAATGGCGGGCAATGAGCTCTGACTCTCTGATTCACTGCGGTAATTACAATCGTCGAGCAACAAGCGAGCACCGTCGTGCACTGAATCCCATGTCGAGCAGAAGCAACAGGAAGAAAGAAAATAAAATAGGTCTTTTGAGAGTGGTGAACCATTTGGGATTGCTTTCAAGTTTGGGGGGAGGGTTGGACATTTGCCGGAGTAATGAAGGATAATGATTATTTTTTTCCGGAGAAATGATAAATAAGATTATTAATAGAGAATTGTTATTGCCCTCTAAAATTTCAAATTTTCTTCCTTGGTGGTATCGAGATGTTTTTTGTATGGCATTTGAATCACATTAAAAAGGAAAGCTTGACTCCTTGAGATTGAGAAGGAGTAATTCCTTGAGATGTTTTGTTACCGATTTACGAAACTTCATACTTATAATCAAAGTAGTGCATATTATATATATATATATATATGAGATCTTTATGATGTGATTTATAATACAAACAGTTTCAACCAGATGTGCGAAGTTTCGTAAATCAGTAACAAAGTATGTTGAGAAGAACTCCTCCTTAATCTCATCTATTGAGGAGCTAAGTTAATTTCTTACCTAAATAAATAATAATAATCAAATGACACAACCAAACTCGAGAAAAAGGGTTTAAGGAAGCTTAAGCTACTTGGAAAAAAAATAATAAATAAATAAATAAAACCCACCTACATGTACAACAGAAGCCCAAAACAAGTTAAGCACAAACAAAAATGGACCATAAACACACAAAGGACAAGGCTCCAAGATTACCCTTGGAGCTCAGCACACACAAAGTATTCTTGCCGCTGCCAGAGAACTGTTACTGTCCTCTAAAATTTCAGATTTTCTTCTTTGGTATCCTTAAGTTTTATGTATGGTATTTGAATCACATAAAAGACGAAAGCTTACTACTTAAGATTGAGGAGGAGTACTTCCTTCAGATGCTTTTTCACTCCAAGCGGCTGCCCTTTACTTTGAGCTATTTTTTTACATTGATTGAGCAAACTGTAGAGTTTCTCTGTGACATATGAGCGTTTAGGATTGCTGCCTTTGTTTTAGTTTTTAATTTATTGCTTTTGTTATTTTTATATACGTATTATGTTGCTGTAATAATTATTTTCTTGATATTTATGAAGTTAATTAGATGAGAAATGTTTTTTCATATCATATGTTCAGAAATGGTGGGATTATCCATAGGAGAAAAGCATTTTATACAGGGTGGCATTGCTCAGGATATTCGTTCTAATGGCCGAAAAAGATTGACTCCTCGGCCCATCAATGTCAAAACTGGAGTTATTTCCCAGGTTAATATCTGTCATATGTTTCACTAAAAATAATGGATTTTATATTTTGGTGTGACATGAAATTTTACTTATTTTGTTATAATTTCCGTTCTTTGTGGCCGTTACCCAGGCAAATGGTTCAACAAGGGTCAGGATGGGTGCTACAGATGTCATTGCCAGTGTGAAGGTATAACTGCGGTCTTGATGCTAAGCGCATACTTACTTTTACATGCTATTGGAATGTCCTTGATGAAATTTAGGTAATTTGTTAGTCTAATTATTTGAGCTGCCCCTGTTTTTCATACTATCATATTTGCTGGTAATGTTGACCGAGTGCAGGCTGAACTTGGAAGGCCAACTGCGCTGCAACCCGACAAAGGAAAGGTATTTATAAATGTTGATTGCAGTCCAACTGCAGCACCAATGTTTGAGGTTAACACTTTTATTATCTGCTTCCTTCTCATGTTTTACTGTGTGAATTGCGGTTATATAGACATCTTGGTTTCTTCACGATCCTGTAGACAGTTTACTACTTTGTTTTTGTTGAATTCATGCTCTGATAAAATACGAAGGCACTATATCTCAGTTTATGTTCGTTGTTCATTATAGAATCTGTACTTCTCCTTTTGGTGTACGAATTACTGGTCCATTGCGGGGTGAGGAGCTGTCAGCAGAACTCTCGGTGGCTCTTCGATGTTGCCTCTTGGGTGGTAAAAGTGGTCTGTTTTCTCTTTTGGCAATGGATTCTCAGTTGAGCGTATTTTAATCCAACCTCAGAGTTGAAAATGTAGGTGCCCTTGTTTGTCTCAGGTGCTGGAATTGATCTCTCCTCCCTGGTAGTTGTGGAAGGAAAGATCTGTTGGGATCTTTACATTGACGGCCTTGTTGTCAGTTCAGATGGGAATCTTCTAGATGCCCTAGGTGCTGCTATAAAGGTACTTGATTTTCTTTATACATTACTTATAAAATGTCATTGAACATAAATAAATTAGAAAGTAAAAATAATTCTATCCTGATACTTCCTAGTTTGAGCTTAGTGCTCTTGCAAACCAGTCTTTATAACGATTCGTATCTTGAGATGGCAGTATTTGACAACTCAGAGTCTCTAAAGTGTCTTCATAATTTCATTGTCCATTTTAATTTTTACACATTAAATTTAGTGTGGCTAGCAAGGAACAAGAGTTAAAGTGCACTTAATTGTTGTTTCCAATAAAGTGAAAAAATGACAGGAAAAGAAACTGATGTTCCCAAAGGCTGCTTTGAGCGATACAGGCATCCCAAGAGTAAATGTTGCAGCTGGTGCATCAGGTGATGAGCAACCTGAGGTTGATGTAAGTGACGAGGAATTTCTGCAGTTTGACGCATCTAAGGTCCCTGTCATAGTTACATTAACAAAGGTGACAAAATTTAACCATCCCTTCTGTCCCTTAGCAAATTGCAAATGCTTTTTAGCCCTGTACTGAGTCATGTGCATATATTTTTCAGGCAGGTAAGCACTATATTGTGGATGCCACTTCAGAAGAGGAATCACAAATGAGCGGCTGTTTCTATTTCCGTCAATAGGCAGGGGCACATCTGCGGGTTGATCAAACGGGGTGGTGCAGGCCTAGATCCAAGCATCATTCTTGACATGGTATCGGTGGCAAAAACAGTAAGCGAGCAGCTGATAAACACATTGGATTCCCAGATAGCCGCTGCTGAAGCTGGTGAAGATGAATCATGACAGAGTGAGAATCTCTGATTATATCTAAATAGGTGGTTCGAGCAGGTCCTAGCTAGATGAAAATTGTAATTCCGATACTTAACACACAGCTGACGAAAACATTTGGTTTGTTGTATGCATATTTGGCACCGTTTAACCAAGATTAGTATCATTACGCTGTTAAAGAGTTATTATTTTGGTGTCTTTTGCATTCTAGGTCTCTATTGTATGATATTATCTCTCTCCATAGTTGGTATATCAGCATTCGCTCGGTTCTCCGACATCTCCTCGAAAAGCCTAGTGCCCATCTCCTACTGTATTAGGAGCCACATTCGCGGCGTTCATCTCAATAAAAATTCTATTTGCTTCTTGTAATTTTCCTGCCTTGCAAAACCCATCAATAAGCGTGTTAAAAGTTACCACTCTGGTGCAATCCATTCTTTGCCGTCAAGTTTTTGAACTTCAAAGACGAACTCAGAAGCCCTTATCACGGTGCCCTGCAATCAATGTATAGGACACCACACTAGGGCTACTACCCATGCCTTCCATCTCCTTGAGCACCTCAACAGCGTTCTCTAATTTTCCCAATTTACGGGAAGCGGCCATAACCATGTCAACAGTGTAAACATTTGGCGAAATCCTACAACGCCGCATTTCTCTATAGAACGCCAAAGCAACATCAGCTCTACGCAAATCAAGGTCCTGCCCTTATGGGCAAAGGGATCGTTCTGTGGGGTATATGAATTGGATTCCGATTCCTTTTCCCCCATTTCCCAGAAATTGTGGGGTTTGTAACGGTGGGTTCTTTCGGAATCGAATTGGGCAAACTCGAAAACTGACGAATTGGGAATTTGTTCATCGAATTGGGTTTTCTGGAGTTAAATTCTTGGATTGATTCGAGAGTTCAAATCAACTTCTTGGATTGTGATTATATATATATATATATATATATATAAAATGTTAAGGATTCTGCAACATAAGAGATGAAGTATTCTGAAATATTCATATCTTCTTTGAGATAGTGTAGTATTGTTTTTTCTTTTACTAAAAAATTTCAGGCATGTTTGCTGTTTATTTTTTAGGATGGTTTGTGGTGCAATTTTGCAGAACAGAGAATATGCATGGACACAGTAATAGCACGATCAACTAGCCCTTTCATGTTTTTGTTTTTGTTTTTTTTTTTTTTTTGTTTTTTTTTTTTTTCCATAAAAGCCAGCAAAGTAGCCATTTCTGAGTTTAAAAACAAATTCACATCTAAAGCCTAATTCCCCTAAATTGACAAAAACCTTGAAGCAGTAGAACCATGCGGAGTGTTTGTGTGCTAAAGGCAAAGGGTTTAAATTTATTTTTTGGACAAGATGAAGACTTAGGTAGATTTTGGTGTGGGGTGTATTAATATATTTTTTTAGTTTAAAAAGTTAAGTGTAGTGTGTTTTAAGTACGTGTGGTGTATTCAACGCTAATAAAACAACCATTTCTTTATTCTTTATAATTAGTACCTTACAATATGCTAGCAATAATGTGATTCAATCATTTGTTCATTAAATATTATTTTCTCTATTTTTAAACACGTTCAAAACATCTTAAGAGGCTGTAATACCGGTTATAAAAAAAGATCTTTCGCACGCGGATAATAATGTGATTAAATTAGTTGTTAAATGATTGTTTTTTTTTTTTTTGAACAAACGATATTATCTATACTAAGGGAGAGGGGGGGTGAGCTTAATCTCACAATGGGCTAGTAATAATGTAAATCAATCAGTTGTTTTTTTGTTTTTTTGAACAAACGATATTATGTACACTAAGGTCTTTTGAGAGTGGTGAACCATTTGGGATTGCTTTCAAGTTTGGGGGGAGGGTTGGACATTTGCGGAGTGATGAATGATTTTGATTAATTTTTAAATAGGATTATTAATAGAGAATTGTTATTGCCCTCTAAAATTTCAAATTTTCATCTTTGGTGGTATCCACATGTTTTATGTATGGCATTTGAATCACATTAAAGAGGAAAGCTTGACTCCTTAAGATTGAGGAGAAGTACTTCTTTAAGATGTTTTGTTACCGATTTACGAAACTTTATGCATATAATCGAAATCGTGTATATGGTAAATCACATTATAAAGGTCATATCTACAAAATAATAATAATAATAATAATAATAAAATATAAAATCTTTATAGTGTGATTTATAATATGAACGGTTTTCACCAAATGCACGAAGTTTCGTAAATCAGTAACAAAGTATGTTGAGAAGAAACTCCTCCTTAATCTCATCTATTGAGGAGCTAAGTTAATTTCTTACCTATATAAAAATAATAATCAAATGGCACAACCAAACTCGAGGAAAAGGGTTTGAGGAAGCCAAGCAACTTTTTCCATTGGACTCTCCTTTTGCAATGGGGATGGAGATGTGGGTTATTTCTAAGTTTGCTTTTTTGTATTCAAATTCCAATTTCATCTCTATATATAAAGTCAACCCTAAAGTGAATAGTATTTTTGGGGTCACAAGCATCACAAAAAATAAGTGGACAAAAATGCCCCCAAAGCAAAAAAGTTCAAAAGCAATCCAAAATAATGCATCAAATGTGATGGGGGTATTTTCATTATTTTAATAGTGTTTTCTTTTAATAATTAATTTTTTTTTGTATAGTTTTTTTTTTCTTTAAATAATTAGCACCTCATAATAGGCTAGCAATAATGTGATTCAATCAGTTGTTCATTAAATATTATTTTCTTTATTTTTAAACACGTTCAAAACATCTTAAGAGGTTGTAATGCCGGTTGTAAAAAAGGTCTTTCGCATGCGGATAATAATGTAATTAAATTAGTTGTCAAATGATTGTTTTTGTTTTGAACAAACGATGTTATCTACACTAAGGGAGAGGGGGCGGGCTTAGCCTCACAATGGGCTAGCAATAATGTGATTGAATCAGTTGTTTATTTGTTTTTTGTTTTTTTTTTTTGAACAAACGATATTATCTATACTAAGGGGGAGAGGGTGGGCTTAGCCTCGCAATGGCTAGCAATAATGTGATTCAATAAGTTGTTTATTTAATATTATTTTCTCTATTCTTAATATAAATTCAATAAAAACTAATTTTATTATGTGAACTCAACTACTTTAATTGATTTATAAGAGCATTTCCACCGGAGGTGGAATAGCCCAGCACCCAGTCAAAAAACCAGGCTGGGACTCTGTCAATCCACTCCAGCCCATAAACTTGCCTGGCACCCAGCCCGTGCCAGTCTCCAGACCAGCCCATTTTTGACTGACCTTGGGACCGGCCCATCTGACGTCAGCGTGACATCAGCCACCTTTTTTTTTTTTTTTTTTTTTTCTGCGCCTGGTTTCCCAACACCAGATCTCACAAAATGTACGGAAAAGCCCCATTCACGCTCATCTTCGCCTTCCTCTTCCTCCTCACCTACTCAATCTTCATCGGCATCGTCGACATCCGATCCTACTTCCTCCCACTCATCCCCTCATCGCCGTCGCAGGTTGTCCGGTCCCTTTACGCCACCACCTCCCCACCTTTCAAGATCTACATGTACAATATCCCGCGCCGCTTCAACGTCGGAATTATGAACTGCCGGAGCACCGACTACACTTCTATCACCGCCCGAACTTGGCCTTCATGGCCAAAGAACTTCGGTGAGTACTGGATGATGGGCTCACTTTTGTTCGACGGTAATGGTGGTGATGGGAAGGAGAAAATAAATATTTTATTTTATTTTTTATAAATTCAGAAATTAAAAATAAAATTATTATTTTTTATTATTTTATAATAAAAAATAATAATATTTTAATAAAATTGACTAGGCTATTTTTTTTTAGGGGTGGAGATGCTTTGATCTATTACTGTTTATTGAGGTCTATTACTATTCACTTGAGTGGATAAATGAGCTGGGTGCTGGCACAAAGTCTTTAGGGGTGGAATTGCTCTAAGGGATTTCTTCTAGCATGATCTAAGATTATTCATTTACTTCAAATATTTGACTTTTCTTTTGTCAATTTACGCATATAAATACATTTAAAACTTGTAAGTCACGCGTATTATACCATGATTCAAAAAATATCTTCTGCACGCGCTAGGCTTGTGAATCATAAACTAAACACAATAGTTTGGTTGTAGTTGGATGTGCATGGGTGCTTGGTGAATCAAGAAACCTCATGGATCTGGGATACCCAACAATCAACAAGCATACAATATAAGTTAGGAATGAAGACTGTCATATCAGTTGGCTATACCAAAAAGATTTTTTGGCATCAAGAGGATTACTCTTCCATAGAAATTTCAAAAGATGAGAAAGTTGAACTAATCAAATTTCAACAAATTTGAAAAGTCAACTATTTATATATATGAGGATCCTGATTGATGTGTTACGATGATTTGAAGAACGACCTTGAAGTTATGGAGTGAGACATTCATTTAAAATTAACAAAAAAAATGTAATAATTAGAAAACAGGTTGTCTAAATGGTGGGGTACTGATTGACACATGACCTAAAATAGAGGATGTCACATCCCAAACTCGACTCTGCCGTAGCACGATATTGTCCGTTTTGGGCTCCGATCACGCCTGGGAACTCACACGAGAACTTCCCAGTGAGTCACCCATCTTAGGAATGCTCACGCCCGAACACGCTTAAGTCCAGAGTTCCCAAAAGGCCTTGTGCTATATGGAGGTAGGCATGTACATATAAGGCACATCACCCCCTCTCCGTTGATCGATGTGGGATGTCACAGAGGAAAAATCATACAGTTTACTTTTTAAGTCTTTAAGGAACAAGAGTGGCAAGTTCCAAGTTGGAATAATGCAATTTTCATCTTAAGAGGTTGTAATGCCGGTTATAAAAAAAAATATTTTGGACGTGGATAATAATGTGATTAAATTAGTTGTCAAATGATTGTTGAGGTGGGCTTAGCCTCACAATGGGCTAGCAATAATATGATTCAATCAATTGTTTTTTTTCTTTTTTTTTGAATAAACGATATTATCTACATTAAGAAGGAGAAGGTGGGCTTAGTCTCATAATGGGCTAACAATAATGTGATTCAATCAGTTGTTTATTAAATATTATTTTCTCTATTCTTAATATAAATTCAATAGAGACTTATTTTATTATGTGGATTTAGCTGCTTTAATTGATTTATGAGGGGTTTCTTCTAGCATGATCTAATATTATTCATTTACTTCAAATATTTGACTTTTCTTTGTCAATTTACGCATATAAATACATTTAAAACGTGTAAATCACGCGTAGCATGCCTTGATTCAAAAAAATACCTTTTGCACGTGTGTGAGCGCGTGCATGAAGGCTAATGAATCATAAACTAAACACAATAGTTTGGTTGTATTTGGACGTGCGTGGGTGCTTGGTGAATCAAGAAACTTCATGGATCTGGGATACCTAACAGTCAACACGCATACAATATAAGTTAGGAATGAAGACTGTCGTATCGGTTGGCTATACCAAAAAGATTTTTTGGCATCCGGAGGGTTATTCTTCCATAGAAATTTCAAAAGATGAGAAAGTTGAACTAATCAAATTTCAACAAGTTTGAAAAATCAACTATTTATATATATGAGGATCCTGATTGATGTGTTATGTTGATTTGAAGAACGATCTTGAAGTTATGGAGTGAGACATTCATTTAAAATTAACAAAAAAAAATGTAATAATTAGAAAAAGGGTTGTCTAAATGGTGGGGTACTCATTGACACATGACCTAAAATAGAGGAAAAGTCATACTGTTTACTTTTTAAGTCTTTAAGGAACAAGAGTGGCAGACTCCAAGTTGGAATAATGCAATTTTCATCTTAAGAGGTTGTAATGCCAGTTACAGAAAAAGGTCTTTCGCACGCAGATAATAATGTGATTAAATTAGTTGTCAAATGATTTTTTTTTTTTTTGAACAAATGATATTATATACACTAAGGGAGATAGAGGTGGGCTTAGCCTTGGGCTAGTAATAATGTGATTCAACCAGTTGTTTATTTATTTATTATTTTTTTGAACAAACGATATTATCTACACTAAGAGGGAGGAGGGTGAGCTTAGCCTCACAATGGGCTAGCAATAATGTGATTCAATCAATTGTATATTAAATATTATTTTCTCTATTCTTAATATAAATTCAATAGAGACCGATTTTATTATGTGGATTCAGTTGCTTTAATTGATATATGAGGGGTTTCTTCTAGCATGATCTAAGATTATTCATTTACTTCAAATATTTGACTTTTCTTTTGTCAATTTATGCATATAAATACATTTAAAACGTGTAAGCCACGTGTAGCATGTCATGATTCAAAAAATGTCTTCTACGCATGCGTGAGCGTGTGCATGTCATAAACTAAACACAATAATTTGGTTGTAGTTGGACGTTCGTGGGTGCTTGATGAATCAAGAAACTTCATGGATCTGGGATACCCAACAATCAACACGCATACAATATAAGTTAGGAATGAAGACTGTCGTATTAGTTGGCTATACCAAAAGATTTTTTGGCATCCAGAAGATTATTCTTCCATAGAAATTACAAAAGATGAGAAAGTTGAACTAATCAAATTTCAACAAGTTTGAAAAATCAACTATTTATATATATGAGAATCATGATTGATGTGTTACGTTAATTTGAAGGGCGGTCTTGAAGTTATGGAGTGAAACATTCATTTAAAATTAACAAAAAAAAATGTAATAATTAGAAAAAAGGGTTGTCTAAATGGTGGGGTACTCATTGACACATGACCTAAAATAGAGGAAAAATCATACAATTTACCTTTTAAGTCTTTAAGGAACAAGAGTGACAGGTTCCAAGTTGGAATAATGCAATTTTCATCTTAAGAGGTTGTAATGCCAGTTATAAAAAAGCTTTTTCGCAAGTGAATAATAATGTGATTAAATTAGTTCTCAAATGATTGTTTTTTTTTTCTTTGAGCAAATGATATTATCTATACTAAGGGGGAGAGATGTGGGCTTAGCCTCACAATAGGCTAGCAATAATGTGATTCAATCAGTTGTTTATTTGTTTTTTTTTTTTTTGAACGAACAATATTATCTATACTAAGGGGGGAGGGGGTGAGCTTAGTCTCATAATGGACTAGTAATAAAATGATTCAATCAGTTGTTTATTTAATATTATTTTCTCTATTCTTAATATAAATTCAATAAAGACTAATTTTATTATGTGGATTCAACTGTTTTAATTGATTTATGAGGGGTGTCTTTCTAGCATGATCTATGATTTATTCATTTACTTCAAATATTTGACTTTTCTTTTGTCAATTTACGCATATAAATACATTTAAAACGTGTAAGTCACGAGTAGCATGCCATGATTCAAAAAATGCCTTATGCACGCGCATGAGCGCGTGCATGAAGGCTAGTGTATGGAAATTAAACACGTATAATGTAACTCTTTTTTTCTTCCAAACTTTATAAATGGCTTAGTGTTTGTAAAATATTAGAGGCAAAGTAGGGACGTTTGTATCATATCTCAAAATTAAAATTTTGTTGGTATAATCTACATTTTGTTTGTGCAACCAAAAATAAGTACTGAAAATGGACAGAAAACAATTTGTAAGACTCGAATGCATGTTGAGCATGACTAGAATATTTATGGTGATAATCGATTGATGACTGATCGAATGAAAATACTTACGCCGATAGAGGTTAGCGTGATAAACACAGAATTAAACCTACTAGCTAGCTCGACTGTTTCAATCATACGGATGTACAATAATCGACTTGACTCCATGGATAAGTGCTCTGCCTTGTTGCAATCCAAGGAATGGTTTTGCGATTAACAAGTCTGCTCCTGCATATTCTTTTGTTTAGCCAATGGTGGCATCTTGGACGTAAGAAGGAGAAGGGACGAGTAATTGTTGTCCATCAAAGGAGTACGTAATTTCGGGTTTCGATGGGGCTTTAGCCCTTTGTTACCGTGGCCGGAGAAACTCTAGATTTTTGGATGCTATTGATGTAACCCTTGTGTTGGTCCTTTGTATTATTGAATTATGAATGCAACTTCTATATTTTCTTAATGTCACTTTCAGTATTTATCTTGACAAGAACATGAATGGTAATTACTAATTGGCGATGCCTTATCATGTGGGACAAGACAAATTTGGCCTTAATAGCTTGACTTCAACTGAGAACAATTGGCGGATACGCGACGCCAACAAGTAACAACAACTAGAGATGTTTACTTGTCGGCTAACTAATGGTAAACTCTTGTAGACTAGTTAATGGCAGACTCTTGTAGGCTAGCTAGAGATGTTTACTTGCAAACGACTCGTATGACTTTTAAGTTTTCAAGTGATCGAGATCGGCATTTTATTGGATTCATCGTCTCCTTATTTGGTTTTCTTTTTCATTTCTTTTTTGTCACCACTTAATGACTCATCACCCATCCCCATATTTTTCTGGGTTTGTTTTGTGAAGAATAATATTTGTGTTCTCTTTTTTGAGATGAGATTGTTTTCCCACTTACAAATAGATAATATTATAATTGGAATCTTTCAATTTCTTAATCTTTCAATTTCTTAATCTTCATTTACAAATAGATAATATTATAATTGGAATCTCTCAAGTGGGGGACATAAGTGTTGCTATAAAGTTTTTTGTGATGGAAATATTGGCGATTCG